TTTGATTTAGGGGGAAGCCTGGCATGCTTCAGTTCATGGGGTCCCAAAGAGTTGGACACGAATGAGCAACTGAACTGAACTGATGTATGATGACATTGTGGTTGGACAATATTGGAAACATACTAAATCCTACTGTATGGTACACTTGATAAAAGTGCATTTTATTGTATGCAAATTATGCAAGTAAAGTCTCAGCTGATATCTCCATAATCTCCCCTCACCTTCCCCCAGGCAAAGGCAGTTTCCTGCGTTCATTCTCAGCTCCAACAGCTCCAAAGAGTGCGTTGTCAGGACACAGCCTTTTGACACAGAAAACTGGGTGCACTCGTGTCCCACACTTACTTCCCCAATCACACACCCAGGAGTGCCAGGGTAGGCCCCGGTCACAGCTGCAGGGTGCGTACACTGGTACACAGGCCACTGGGCTCGCGATGTCACACCAGCTCCCTGACATGAGTTGCCTGACATGAGTTGTCAGACAAAATTTGCTGTAACCAAAATGCATGCTCTTTACTTTTCTTGAAGTGAGGTCCCTACTTCCACAGAGGCATTTATCCATATGCCACAAGAGTTGATTGCTAGTGCAACGGATGCCTCCTTGCTAAGCTGGAAAGGGCCATGTGATGACACTAAAGGTTCTTTTGCCAATGAGTTAAATGATCGCTGTGAAGCTGAAATTTCTTTGAAACGAGGAAAGATTCCTGATCACTTGTTTTCTAGCTCTGCCTCCAATCCATGGGCATAAAACTCTCCCTACAAAGGCAAAACCAGAATGACGTATGTCTCCTATGAGTTCTTGTAAGGCAACGTTTCAGTGAAAGAGACTGATGACAGTTCTTTTTGAGCAAATAGGATAGTGAATACAGCAGTAGCACTCTTGTCTACATATTCTCCAGCTATCAAGGCAATGAAGCTTTCCTTGTAGCTCAGACGGGAAAGAATCTGCCTGTAATGCGGGAGACCAGGGTTAGATCCCTGGGTGGAGGAGATCCCCTCAAGAAGGGAATGGCAATCCACTCCAGTATTCTTGCCTGAAGTATCCCACGGACAGAGGAGCCTTGTGAACATGGACAGAGGAGTCCATGGGGTCGCGGAGTCCGACACGAACCAGTGACTAACGCATCAAGTCAATGAATTGTCCAGGCATAGAAGTCATTTCCAAAACTTACACACATGGAAGTGTAACCTGTGAGTCCCTCACATAAGTGACACCCCTATGGATTCATTCAGTTGCACAGAGCAACCTTTTTTGCACCAGGGACCTGTTTCTTGGAAGGCAGTTTTACATGGGGGCGGGGATGGGGAAAGTAGTGATGATGGCGATATGGTTTGGGGATGCCTCAAGCACATTACATTTATTGTGCACTTTATTTCTGGCCCACAGAGCTGTAAGCTGTTTTACCTTAAAACTGCTACAGCCGTAACTTCTACTAAGCACTGTCAGCTTATTGAAAAGCACGTTCCGCACCGCCCCCTGCCCCGACCTCTTTCCTGCGAACCAGACCGGAGCGCTCTCCTCGTCCCGCCCTTCGCCGGAAGCGCTCCGCCCAGCCTCCGACCCCGGAAGTCCTGCTTCTGATCCGGCGCCGGCGTTTTCTGAAAGGACCTGGAAGTGGAGCGCGAGGAGTGAAGGTTGTAAAAGGAAGGGTAAATTCTTCCTTTCTAGTGAAATTCCGCGCTGCGAGGCCCGTCTTAATTCCTTCTTAGGGTCTTGTGAGTGACTGCGGATCTAAACTCCCCACTGCCGTCCCCACCCCGGTAAGTTCAGACATAGCCGGGACTGGTCGCGGATTCTCTCTCTCTCTCTCTCTCTCTCATTTCTCTTTCGGTTTGTGAATTTGTCTGAGGCCAGTCGCTGTGACACTGTTCGGTGCCATTTCTGGGCTCCAAAGAGCTCCGGTATCACATTCTTTTATGTCTCAGCTCAGAAAAAAAAAATTAGCTAAAGACAGAGAGATAGTAAGAAGTGATTTATTAGACGAGGATGCTTGTGAGGCTGACAAGGGCGCGGGAGAGGGGATGCCCCCCTGAGAATTTACTGCGCTAGTTTTATAATCAAAGGAAAAATGAGGGGGAGAGGACCTTCCTTGTCTTTTCTGAATAGACATCATGCTTCCATCATTAGCTCCTCCTCTGGGTTGAGCAGGGGAGTTTTCTTGTTCCTACAAGGTGAAGCCAGATTCACAAATGACTGCTTTTTATGTGTTCACAGAGCGTGTCCTAATTTACTGCGCTCACTGGGCAGGATGTGAGTTTCATGCCACCAGTTTTACTGTTTGTTGGAATGTGTTGTGCTTCTATTGCATGATTTTGTTGTTAAGCAAGCCTGGTTGGTTTTGTGGTTAAGCAAACCTGCTTTCTTGTGTAATCATTAACTTATAGGAGTCTCCCATATTTTTTCTATTGACAATCCTCTAGTGAGATTCACTGTTTAATCACCTACATTGTACCTTTACTCTGTCCCTGTCAGCTGCCCTTGGCTTTTTTGCCTACCCAACATTTTCCTGCTTAAAACCTTCTACTGTTTCCCACCTCCCCTGTAAAGTACTTGTCTGCCGGGGGTGGGTTCCTGCCCCCGCCCAGCCTCGCCCTCTCAGCCCCTCTTATTAGTTGCTGTATTTCTAAATATAGGGGTGAAGGGAGGATCAGGAGAAGCAGAGACAGAGGGGCTGAGAAAGGAATAGAAAAACTGAGTTGGAGAAAAGAATGAGGAAGAACAGATGGAAACATAGAGGATGGCTTAAGGACATGCAAAGGGATTTTTTAAAAAAATGAAATAGATTTAGCCTTGAAAATAGCAGGTGAATAAAATAAGAGAAGTAAGTTAACAAGCTGCTCTCCAGATGGGGAATGTGGGGAGAGGCTGCCGGATCAGCCACAGGACAGGGGACATCAGTGGTGCCGCCCTTTGCACAGAGTCCTATAGTGGATAGAAAAGGTGGAAACTTGGCCTTCAGAGCAACTTAACTGGTGGGAGGGAATGAGGACAAAGGGTGACAAGAAGAGCAGAGGTAGAGAGAGAGCAGGAAAGAAGCATCGCTAGCTAAGGTGCCAGGGAGTGGAGAGGAAGGGAATTTAACTGCAATAGATGAGGTGTGATCCAGAGGGTAGAAGGGGAGCAGAGGCGGGGGAAGAAGGAGGGTCAAGAAGGGAAGCAAGTTGCAAAGTGGGGCAGGACAGGTGTAAGGGAAGTAGAGAGGAGGGGAGAAATAGCAGGAGAGCCGAGGGGAGTAAAATGAGGTGGACAGAGAAAGAGATTGGGAGCTAGATAAAGGGAATGAGATGGTAACACATGGTAGTGCAGGTAGAGGGGAAACTGGATCCAGACAGATGGTGAACTGTTTGGATATGGATGATTTAGTTATGATATACTGATGTGTGACTTTTGTTCAGTTGCTCAGTCGTGTCTGACTCTTGGAGAGCCCATGGACTGCAGCATGCCAGGCTTCCCTGTCCTTTGCCATCTCCCGGAGCTGGCTTAAACTCATGTCCGTTGGTCAGTGATGCCATCCAACCCCCTCATCCTCTGTTGTCCCCTTCTTCTCCTACCTTCAATCTTTCACAGCATCAAAGTTAAGACCCTGATGTGACTTTGGAATTTAGTAAATTTAAAACTTGTTTTTAAATGATATAAATGAGGGTGAGAGTTGCAAAACTCCTGTCTACAAGGTTTGTTCATTTTGTAGTTATTTATATGAGAAAATGACTTCCATTTGCAGTCCTTATTCAGCCAGGGTCTTGATTCACTTCACTGTGGGTCGCCCCTGGGGTGGGGGACTAGGAGAGGACACCTGGGGTAAGAAATTGCTGACAGTCTCTACATAGTGCCTTTTTAGTGGAACGTTTATTCAAAGTGTTCGTTTTTTCATAATGGAGTTGCTTTTTCTTTTTTGACTCTTAAAATTTTTTTCAAATTTATTTTTTGGCTGTGCTGAACTTTATTTAAAGTTTATTTTTTCCTTGCTGTGCACAGGCATTGTCTAGCTGTGGTAAGAGGGCTACTGTCTAGTTGCAGGGCCTGGTCTTCTGATTGCAGTGGTTTCTCTTGTTGCCCAGCACAGGTTCTAGGCATGTGGACTCAGTAGTTGTGGTACACGGGCTTAGCTGCCCCTTGGGATGTGGAGTCCTCCCAGACCAGGGATCAAACCCCTGCCCCCTGCATTTTAAGGTGAATTCTTAACCAGTGGACCACCAGGGAAGTCCTTGATTCTTTTTTCTTTTTTTTAAGTAAATAAATGTCCCACTGGGACATGTACATTGTTGGAGACATCTCTCTTTCCGTAGTCATTTTTGGAGATGACAGTGTTTGGTTTGGGTCCCTGAATGTGAAAGTGGTGTGACTTGGAATCTGGTGGGCTCTTGGGTGTCTTCTCACGTATTTTTCTCTCCAGCATCAGTTATTAAGGCTTGGAATGTTTTCTGTTATTGTATTGTTTGTAAGTTTGCTTGCACCCAGAAGGAAATTTATGAGTGCTAAGATTAAGATTGCGGAATTTTTTTTAAATTAAATAATCACTCTTTATTCAAAATAAATAAGCCTTCTTACTTACAGGAAAATACGAAAGTAAACTTCTATCCTTCTGGCCTCTAAGAAACCACATTCAAGATTTCAGAATGTTTTCAGTAGGGGATATGTCCTATTAGATATGGGTCTGTGGACTGAAGCTGAAGGGTCTCTGCTCTGCATAGGAATGGACCAAGGCCTGGTGTGTGACCTGAAGGGGATCGTGGAGTCGGCTGGGGTGCCCACTGCTGCTGTGTACATGAGGCCTCACAGAAGGGGAGCGAGATCTGATGGAAAGTGTGGGGGAGAAACCCTGTGTTGGTCTCTGTGTGGGAGTTGACTGCCCTGAGTCTCTCCTGTGACAGTGAGCAGCGGAGGACTGTCTGTTCCACATGGTAAGCTTTCTCCTCTGTGGTTGTGACACAGAAAGGGGGGATGTTCATTCTAAGCCTTAAACAGCATGTTTTTAACTTTTAAGATTGACCTCTAAAGTCTCATGTTGCCTGAGGAAAACACACGGAAGATGAGAAAGAGGAAGGAACAGGAGTCAGGCATGGCTCTTTCTCAGGTAAGGTCATATTCTCGGTGGATACTCAGTCTGTCCTTCCTGAAATGCCCTTCTCTGGACTCAGTAATCATGTCCGACTCTGGAGTGTCCTGTCTGACTCCTGTACATGCACACTCACCCGGGGCCTTCCCTCAGGGCCTGTCATCTCCACTTAGATCCCGTCTCCCCATGACCCGGTGACCTGGCCCTTGTGAGGAGGCTCCCCTGGGCGCCATCCTGGGCAGGGCTTCACACCCACGGGTTGGAGATGGGGTCTCCGTGCTGTTGGGCAGCAGGGATTGCTTAGGGCCCATCTGGATGCACTGTCTGCTCTCTGTCAACCAGGATGAAAGAAGCTACACACAGAGGTTGAGTGTTAATATGCACAAATGCCTGCTGAATTCTGAAAGAGACAAGTGAGGAAAAATTTGTTCTGATTTTTATAATATATTTGTAGGTAAATGAGTGTGTCACTGGCCTCAAAATCTTAATGATTGGGAATGGAATGGATACTTGAGAAACAGACATGAGTGATAGAGGTTGTTATATTCCATCATTGATTTTAAAGTATGAAATCAACCTAAATCTGTGAGAGTTGGAGATTCTTTGTATCACTTTATATGACCTTAGAGGTTCTCTGTTGATTGTGCCTTTGACATCCCAGTTTCTCTGATTGATGCAGGTTAAGTTCCAGATTTATTGTGTTATTGGTAGATAACTCAGTTTTTAGCACCATTTGTTATTGAGACTCTCCTTTATCCATTGTGTAGTCTCAGCACCCTCCTAGTACCTTTTACATACATGCAAAGGATGATTTCTGAGTACTCACTTTTGCTCCATTGGTTTATATATTTATGTTTATATAAGTACCCTACCATCTGGATTACTTGGTGGGTTTTTTGTTTGTTTTTCATTTTCATTTTTTGATGTGGACAGTTTTTAAAGTCTTTATTGAATTTGTTACAATACTGCTTCTGTTTTATGTTTTGGTTTTTGGCTGCGAGGCATATGGGATCTTAACACCTTGACCAGGGATCAAACCTGCACCCCCCTACATTGGAAGGCAAAGTCCTTCCACTGGACTGCCAGGGAAATCCCCTAGATTACTTCATAATATGTTTTGAAATATAGAAAAAGGACACCTCCATCTTTCTTCTTTTTCAAGTCTTTTGACAGTTTGCTTGAGATTCTTTATGAATTTTAGCATTTTTCTATTTCTGCCAAAATTGCCATGGGAACTTTGATAGCAATTCCACTGAATCCTAGAGTGGAATCCTAGATGCTGTTTTCCATAAGTGGACTACTTACGTTTGTGGGCTTCCCTTGTGGTCAGTGGTCAGGAATCCACTTGCCAATGCAGGAGACACAGGTTCGACCCCTGGGTCAGGCAGATCCCTTAGAGAAGGACGTGGCAACACACTCCAGTATTCTAGCCTGAAAAATCCCTGGACAGAGGATCCTGGCAGGCTCCAGTCCACAGGGTCAGATAGAGTCAAACATGACTGAGTGAGTAAACACCACCAGCAGCATTTATGGTTTGTACAGTTAAGACCTTGTTTTCTAGGAAAAAAAGATAATTTTAATCATTTTTCATTTTGGATAACTTTGATTTCTTTTTCTTGTCTAATTGCTCTGGCTAGGAGATTCAGTAGTTTGTTGAACAGTTGTGTGGAGTGTGTACATCCTTGTCCTCTTCTTGATTTGAGAGGAAAAGATTTCATTCTTTCACCTTTGAGTATGATGTTAGGAATCCTATTCCTTTCATGTATAGGATTTATTATGTTGAGGTAGTTTACTGTTTCTCTTTTGTTGAGTGTTATATATGGGGAAATTGTTGAATTTTTCCACAGAAATTTTTTGCATCAACTGAGATGATAGTGTGCTTTTTTTGTTTGTTTTATTCTGTTAAGTTGGTGTATCACATTAATTGATTTTTGTACCTTGAGTCATCCTTGCCTTATAGGAATAAAATCTAGTTGGTCATGATGTCAGATAGTCTCTGGGTTGGGTATCAAAATCATGCTAGCCACATTGATTGAGTTTGGCAGTGTTTTCTTCTAACTCTGTGCAAGACATTTAGCAGGATTCAGTTTAGTTCAGTCGCTCAGTTGTGTCTGACTCTTTGCGGCCTCTTGTACTACAGCATGCCAGGCTTCCCTGTCCATCGCCAACTCCTGGAGCTTACTCAAACTCATGCCCGTCGAGTCAGTGATGCTGTCCAATTAGCAGGAGTAGTGGTAATCTTTTTTGTAAATGTTTGGTAGAATTATGCAGTATAGACACCTTTTCCTGAGTTTTTGAGATTTTTTATTACAACTGGAATCTCTAGTTACAGTTCTATTCAATTTTTTTCTTAATGTTTCCAACTTAGTAGGTTCATGTTTCTACAGAATTACTCATATCTTATAGATTATGTAATTTGTGGGTTTTTTTGTTCATAGGACTCCCTTTTAATCCTTTAAAAAAATGTCTTTTGATGTCAGTTGCAATCACTCCTCATGATTTCAAGAGTATATATCTTTTACAGTTGAAATTATATCTTCAATATATTCCCTGGCCTTGAGTTTTTCCTACACTATCGCGTTAATGGTTTCATTAGTGGGAAAATTACTAACATTTTATGTGTATGTGTGTGTTTGTGTGGGTGCACATATGTAATGACCTTTCATGCCACTCTTTTTGAACTTCTTTCGCGTTTTCTCAGGGAGCCCTCTGTCAGTGTAATTGTAAAAATATTTATTGATTTATTTGGCTGCACTGGGTGTTAGTTGCAGCATGTGAACTCTTAGTTGCCGCATATGTGGTCTCGGTCCTCTAGCAGGTATGGAACCCAGGCCCCCTGCGTTGCAAGAATAGAATCTTAGCCACTGGACCACCAGGGAAGTCCCTATCAATGTACTTTTAATGCTCTATAACTAAGCTAGTCTGTTTTTTAGCTTCAGTTCCAGAGCCCAACCCTCAAAGGTTCAGGTGCTTGCTGTGTTATTCCTTAACTTCTTGACCTGGAGCCTCAGGGTGTCTCTAACACAGATTTCTCCTCTGTAAAATGGGAACAGGTCTTTCCCTAGTGACCTAATATGTTGATAACAAGTTCATGCCTATAAAGTACTTATTTAGAGTTATGTTCACATACTGGAAGTGTTCAAATACTTCTAGTCATTGCTGTTCTTATTATTATCATAATTGAAGGTTTTGACCTTTCTCTAAAACCACGGTAGACTTCATCATGTCTAAAGCCACCATTCATACAGGAGCTCGTCTAGATATTGAATAGCACTCAGTGTTTGTTTATTTTTGGCTGCACTGGGTCTTCATTGCTTTGCATGTGCTTTTCTCTAGTTGTGGTGAATGGGGGCTCCTCTTTAATTGCAGTGCTTGAGCTTCTCACCATGGTGGCTTCTCTTATTGCAGAGCATGGGCTCTCGAGCACAGGCTCAAGACTTCTGGCGCACAGGCTTTGTTGCTTCTTGACATGTGGGATCTTCCTGGACCAGGGATCGAACCCGTGTCCCCTGCATTGGCAGGTAGATTCTTAGCCACTGGACCACCAGGGAAGTCCTCAACTCAGCGTTTAGAACATAATATTTAACGCTTCTCCATAGACAACCCATTTTTGGATTTTATTTCTGTGTGTTTTCTAATTGTCCACAAAGATGAAAAATCTGTATTAATTGAAGGGTATCATAATCTGTTAGAACAATCATAAGAAATTATAATTAGAGACATTTAATTTGCTCCTTAACATGGATCTTTGAGAATATTCACTTCAATAGAATCAGTCCTTATACTTAACTCTTCTTTTCATTTTTTAAAAGATGAGAAATATCCTCATGGCCACTTGGGTAAATATTTTTTTGTTATTGAGGTATAGTTAATTGACAGTGTTGTATTAGTTTCAAGTATACAGCAAAGTGATTCAACTGTATGTATATTTCAAGTGTACAGCAAAATGACTCAGCTATATATGTATTCTTTTTTAGATTCTTTTCCATTGTAGGCTATTTCAAGATAGTGAGTATAGTTCCTTGGCAATTCAGTAGGCCCTTGTTTATCTGTTTTATATATATAAATAGTAGCCTGTGTATGTTAATCCCAAACTCCTAGTTTATCTGAGCTTCCTCTCCAACCACCATGATCCCCTAAAATTTTTTGTTTCAGAAACAGTTGACTTTGAAGGATGTGGCCATTGACTTCTCTCCAGAAGAGTGGGAATGCCTGGACCCTGCTCAGAGGGCCTTGTACAGGGACGTGATGGTGGAGACCTACAGGAACCTGCTCTCCCTGGGTGAGGATGACTTCTGTGTAGAAGTTGGGACCTGCCCTTTTGTGTTGTACGTTTTCCCCTGTGGACCTCTTGAACTCAGACATGATGGAGCATCACGAGTTTAAACTGACCCTCTTTTCAGATGATAATGTCTGTTTCATGTTACATCAGAGGTCGAGGTTGTTCCAGAGCTTAATTATGTATAAAGCCCAATGGCACACTTTTAAAAAATGTCTGGTTTCCTGCTTTCTACCCTTTGCTTCGGATTCAGTACTTTTTGGAAGAGTGTTAGATATGTACAGTACAGTGTTCCCTATGCATTTGTAATTTTGGTGGTGCTGGGTCTTTGTTGCTGCCCGGCTTTTCTCTAGTTGATGGGCACAGGCTTCTCGTTGTGGTGGCTTCTCTTGTTGCTGAGCTCGGGCTCCAGTGCATGGGCTTCAGTAGTTGCCATTCCCAGGCTCTGGAGCACAGGCTCAGTAGTTGTGGCACACAGGCTTAGCTGCTGCTCAGCCTGTGGCATCATTCCAGACCAGGGATCCTGCCCATGTCTCCTGCATTAGCAGGCGGACTCTTTACCACTGAGCCACCAGGGAAGCCCTCCCCTGTGCACATAGAAGGAGGCAAACGGATGCATTTGTGAAATATTTTTCCAGACCCAGCTGTCATGCCCTCATTACTCAGCTGAACAAAGAACAAACACAGCACTTTACGTTTCTTTGTTTTTGATAAAGCAGGAATTTCTATTTCTGATCTG